GAGGAAATCAATTATTTCTATCATACTGCATCAGCTTATTTAAAAAATAATTAAGCTTTCCCTATAAACTTAACTCCAATCTATTGATGTGGCTTTAGAGAATTTTCAGATACTGAAAGGTAATTAATAACTAAAAACAACAAAGAACTGTAAGCTGGCTAAATACCCATTTTACTTTCTGCTTGAAGTATTTCTTTTCTGTTAATATTATAATTGACTTGATTATAGTATTCCTTTTGCAAAATATCTATTTTCTGAGATCAAAGCTTTTTGGGGGAGGGACTGTATAATTATATGTAACAAAAATTAAGCATTTCCTCACAAACTAACAAAAGCAACCAGAAACCCCAATGACATCAGTGGGGATCAACAATAGGGTAGTGTTTGGAAGTTGATTGATAATAACCATGCCAGGTATGCTGAATCCCTTAACTGCACTATAATTTATAAATCCTTTCATTGAAGTTTCAAATGAAAGAAGTCAAAGAAAGATGTCCCTAACATCTGAGAATCTGCACGTGTTAGTTCAAGTTTCTCTTTCTTAAAGTAGATGTATAGATAACAACTCTTTTTCAAAATAGTACTTTAGTTATCCTTATGTTTATAAAGAAATGTGTGGAAGATAATAGATGGTCCTCAAGAATATAGGTTTTTTTTAACCCTGAGTATAATTTTTTTGTTCCTTTAGACTTTATTAAAGGCACTTTTTTTTCTTTTTAGCTTTTCAGTTGCCCCTGTGTCATAGATAATAAAGCTAAAAACAAAATACAATAATTGAAAATAGAGCTACAATTTTAAAAAATAAAAATTTTGGCTAACAAAACTTTATAGTTGGAGCACAGTATGTAGGTTGGCTATGTGGTAAAATTTTTCCCCCCAGTAATGTGGTAAGATGAGCTCAGTGCAGTATGACATGTATCTAAGTATGCAGGTGCTGATGTCTAGGTATCCTACACATGAAATCTAGAACAGTGTGGAAACCAGCTTATTGACAGACTGGCAAGTAGGATCCTGACAACTGAAAAGAAAGGCTCTGTCCAGGTACATAAAAATAGTGAGGTTTAGTTTTTGAAAGTTTAAAACAAACTTAAAAAAATATGCCCCTTGGGCAAACAATGCCTTAACCTGGGAAAAAAGAAAAAGGCTTTAATATTGAGACTTTCTCACTCTTGGCTGTGAGGTACAGGAGATTTGGTTATTGGGGTATGCTGAGGTGATCAGCCACCCCATTTGCCCAGGACTGAGGCATTTCTAGGGTTGTGGGGCTTTCAGTTTTCAAATCAGAACAGTCTCGGGTAGACGGGGATGGTTGGAAACTCTAGGATATGTTTTCATATTTCTCACCTTACATAATACAAGCCAGGTATTGCATTCTGGATTTGGCTCCATAATCAGCTTCATTAAGCATTTGTATTGAGTTAATTTTTTGATGACGCAGTTTCTTTAGCAAGTTAGTAATGATATGTATAAATCCTGAATGAGTTTAGTAATGGCTTAATTACTAGTTATACAAAATGTCTTGTTTAATTTTTTTCAAAAGTTCAATTGCATGAACAAATTCCTTCAAATTGGGCAATGAATGCCTTCTCTTGTCAGTTCCCAAATGTTGTTTTTTTTCCTACAAGAATGTGGCTCTTTAAAAAATCCTTTCTCAGCTTGAACTAGTGATTTCCAATTCCATCTCTTTTGAGAAAAATTACATAGAGACTATGCACTAAAGATGTAGAAAAATAAAGTGAGTCATCAATGGGTTACAGTTTACTCCCCATTCATCCAACTTTCTTTTGGAGGAGATGAATATCTGTTGTCTTTGAGGCAGATGCTAGCTCATAGTGAACCTATTAATTTGTAAAACTTTATTTATATATGACTCCAGGTATATAACACTGAAATGATCTTCATGTAATTTTATAGCTGCCACCTGTCATTTGAAATTGGCATATCTCCCCCAGCGTTACCCTTAGTTGACAAAAATTACTTGGAAAAAAAACAACCTGTTCACTATGAATTGATATTTGGATGTTAGGCTGCATTTTAAACCCTTCATTTTTGCACAAAATAGAAAAACTGGAAAAATTTAAGAAAAGGATCATGTTTTCACTAAATGTTACAACACAGACAGATAGTTAAATATATATTTACAAAATAGAATATATTTAAAAATACCTGGTGGTATTTAAATTATTAGGGGCCATCTATGATTGATAATACTGCATTCAAAGGCACAATTGACTTTAACACTGAAACACAGTACAGATTTCAGTCATTGCATAAATATGTCATCAGCTTTAGGTTATGTAATGATAAACTGTACCTGTTGAAAAATATATGTGGAAAAAAGAAATAATTTTAATACAAATATGACTCATCTGCAGGCATTCATTTATTCCAATCCAGCGACCATGGTAAATGTGTTTGGATTACTGGGCATAAGTATGCATCATTTAAAAGGGAGTGGAGATCTTTATTAAAACAGAAGGCTCCTTAAACTCCACAATGATGTCAGTAATAGAGGTCCTTGGAGCACATGATTGTTTTAAGCGGAGGTCCCCACTATTTCACACTGGTTATAAAATATTATTTTGTGCTGCTGGCTTGGAATGAGAATGTCATACATCTGTAGGCAATTAGAAGAAGCTGGACTGCATGTCTGATTAGCTCAATAATAAACGAGCATAAGTGTGACTCGACTTGTTAGTCAGATTCCCTAGACAGATTATCCTGTTGTTATCATATGAAATAACCCCCTTTTATCAACAATTAAGTAAATCCACATTTGTGGGCACTTTGTAAAATTTGTAAGGTGGGAAGAAATCCAACTTAAGTCATATGTCATCCAGAAAACTTTTAACCCTGCTTCCAATGATACAGACCTTCCCCCACCCCCAATCCCAAGTTTTAGAAATTGGTTGAATTATGCAGAATAGTTTGGTTTGGAAATACCCCGTGTGAAATCAATAAGTATATATTCAGAATCTGCCATAAGCAAGGCATTTCATAGTTTTAGCTTATAACTATAAAAATTTCCCAAAGAAGTAAGAATTATAAATGTTTTAACATGTGAAAAATAACTTACTTTGTAAGATAGTCTAAACCTTTTTAAGAAAAATTAAATAGGATTTTATTTTTATTATTCACATTTTATTATACGGTTTCTAGTATAATCAATGAATGTTGTAAGTTCTGAATATATTTTATTCTAGAACTTATTTATTTGGTTATAGGCATCATTCTTGAATTCAACCACAGTTATCAATAATGATAAACTACTTTGAGAAATAACCCACTCAATTCTTTGGGTTTTTTTCCTCCTCTGTACCAGTGAAATATACATCTGAGATGTAAAAAGTTATTCAGTATATAAAAGTCATACTTAAAAATTTTGGCAAAACATCTCAGTTTCAGGAAAAATACCACCCAACCTTCCAAATATAATAATCTACTTCAATATCAATTAAAATTTGGTGCCTTAAATAAACTCAGATATTTTTAATCAATATTCACTTAAATATATATAAAATAACCTCATGAGATTATCTCCTTGACATAATCCTTAAATTAAAAATCAGAATATTAAGCAGATGTTGAGGCATTCATCATCAATATTGGAATTCTGACTCATGACAGTAACACAAAACAGATGCTAATATGATGGGCTCTCTGCAAAGTGACACCATCACAGCATGGGTTAGCTCTTGTTGTGGGGTACTTAAAATTTGAACACAAAATATAAAATAAAAGTCAGAGCATGATAGGTTTCCTTACTTCATTTATAAGCGATTTAAAATCCACTATCTCTTATACAGAAGATAAAACTCAACACTCGTGAATAAGAGGCAGCATTCCAGGGGACCAGAAGATGCTTTTATCACTTAATGCAGCAGTGAGGTGATCCAGATCAAACCCCTCAGTGTCAAGGGAGGAACATGCTTTCTTTCTCACTCACAAGCAGGTAGAAGGTGAGAACTCCCGGGCTCTTTCCATTGACTAATGTGTTCCTGGCATTTATAGTATAACACGGGGTCTACTCAGTCAGCCCTGCAATGAAAAAGGAGTCTCGGACTCCTATGACCTATCTCAGCAACACTATCTCCACATTAAGCAGATCTGAAAGGGCTTGTTAAGTAGGAAGAGGGAAACAGAACCCCTTAGTACAGTCCAGTTAGCTAATTTCGTATGTGTTTTCAAAGCCCAAGATTCTTTCCTTTGCTAGCCTGAGTCTACAGCTGTTTCTAGAACACACAGTGATGTGTATACTCTTTATGACCATAAACAGAAAAACCCAGGCAGATGGTGCCATGGTATAAGCGAAATGTGTTCAAATGAGAGCTTTAAAAGACATATGAATATGAGTGGGGGAAACTCCCCTCAATGGTACTGAGAAGCAGGAGCCGCATTTCTTTATTCCACAATAAGGACAAAATGTCAGTGACAAGTTCAATGAAAAGAAAGCTTGAGACCCCCAAAGGGGAAAATTTGTGGAGTAGCTTGACAGAACAATTTCAAATTCCCCTGAATAACCGGACTGCTCCTTCCGACAGCTATGACTGGCCCTGCCTGCCTGGGTTTGAAGGCCGGCTCGGCACTCACCACCTGTGTGACCCCAGGTTCTCAAACTTGGCTGCATGCTGGAACCACGTGGGGAGCTTTAAAAAATACTGATGCCTGGAACCCACCCCTGAGATTGTTATTTAATTGGGCTGGGGTGTGGCTTGGACATAGAGGAGTTTTAAAGGCTCCCAAGTGACTCTAAATATGTGCAGCTAAAGTTGAGAATCACTGATGACCTCTCTGAGCTATAGTTTCCTCATTTGTAAAAGGATGACTAGGAGGGCAGCAACCCCTTTGAGGGTTATTGTGATGATAACATGATAATGCAGGCAAAGCAGTTAGCACAATGTCTGGTACATGTGGTAAGCTGTCAACAATTTGTGAGAAGTTTTCACCACAAGGTGTACTTGGGCAAGAACCTTCTCACTAGTATAAGGAGGTATGCTTACCTTGGCAGATGTTATGCTCACTCTGCTCATAGCCTGTTGCACACTGGATCCGGTGAGAAGGGTTAGAGGGAATGCGCTGAGGGTCAGCTGGATTCCTCCGGATGACAAAGTTATTTCTGCTGGTCTGCACTTCTGGGCCTGCAACTGCAGCAGCACTGGCAACATAACCAGTCCCGGGCACCACTCCACTGGTTGCCATGCCACTGGCTGCTACACCCCCACCTGTACCCGCGGCTGCGACTGCATTTGCAGCTGCACCCACATTTTCGGATGCTGGTGGTTCTAGCTGAGGTTGTTCATTATTGACAATAATCTGGGCTGATTTAGGAAGACAGAGGTATCCTCCATAATGGTTGACGCATTTCATTCCACCTTTGCAGGCATCTGGGACAATGTCACATTCATCAATATCTGCAGTGGATAATGAAATAAGTCAGGGATCTTCTCAGAGGGGAAACTGAAAATGTACACATATGCTCATGCCTTTTCAGTATCATACAAACAGGACAGGAAGAGTAACATAAGGTGAAGAGTGACACAGAAAGCTCTGTTCAGATGGAAAGTCTTTGAAGTTGGCTCACCTTTGCACTGCTGTCTTACGGGGTCCCACTCATATCCATCTGTGCATTGCTGTGAAGAAAACATCAAGACGGGGCCAGGAGACAGTTAGTTGGTGTAGCCAGTCCCTAGAAAGTCACTCTAAAAACTTCATTCTTATGGCAACAATCTTTGCTCTAGAGTCCCAGATAGATGATGAGATGGGTGGTGTAACATTCTCTACATTCTCTAGCTTTTCTTTTTTTTAAAGACAAACCTGCGAATTGCCTCGCTTCCAGCCTCCTTTCTCATCACCAACTGCCTCAGTTCTACTGTTGCGTTTGGCATAGTCACCGTGACCATCTTTTTGGAATTCTTCCCTGTTTTGATACTAATCCCCAATCCCAATGACTGCTTTATTCTTTTTTGCTTTATTTGCTTTTTCAAGAACATTTGGTAATTTCACCAAAACATAAATAAATACATTTTCAAACGAGTTCTTTTTTTCAGCCCTTGACTCTTTCTTCTCTCTTTAAATGCTCTTAGAGCATTCCATCACCTGGCTTTCCTTATCATGTTCAGCTGAGTCCAGAGCCTTCCTCTCATACCCTAGCCTGCCTCCTAGTTTCGGTTCCCACAGGTCCTCTTGTTCACTCACTGAGCCGTCTATCAAGTACCTTTTCACACGAGGCACCATCCTAGTCCCTGGGAATGCAAAGAGCATGCAGACCTTGGCCCTGTCCTCAAGCAGCTCATAGGCCAGAAGAGGAGACAGACAGACAGGTTGGAGCAAGATGTTAGGTGCTATGACACAAGTATACATATAGGAGTGGTGGATTCTGGGTGGGCATAAGAGGGTGGAAGGAAAGGCTTTATGGAGGAGACCACAAGTGAGTGGGGAATTACAGGAGTAAAATTGTTAAAGAGGGGAGGAGCTGCAAGTACTCCTGGGTGGGTGGGGATGAGGTTAGAGAGGTAGGCAGGGCCAAATCTGGGTAGCCTTTCTTTGGGACAGACAGGAACTCAATTCTTATTGAAGGTCAGTGAATCTCAAACTGTATTATGGTTAAGAATCACCCAGCGTGCTTATTAAAATGCAGGTTCCTGGTTCCACTCAAAAGTCCAGATTCTGGGTAGGAGGCCTGGAATCTGAATTCCTAACAAGAACCCAAGGTGATTCTGATACTGATCATCTGTGTGCTACACAGATGATTTTTAAAATTTTTTATTGAATTTATTGGGGTGACATTGGTTAATAAAGTTATATATAGGTTTCAGGTGTACAATTCTATAATATATCATCTGTGTACTGTATTGTGTGTTCACCACCCCAGGTGAAGTCTCCTTTCATCACCATTTATCCCCCCTTTAGCCTCTTCCCACCACCTTCCCCTCTGGTAATCACCAAAGTGTTGTGTCTATGAGTTTTTTGTTGTTGTTTTGTTTTTTGTTCAGTCCCTTCATCTTTTTCATCCTGCCCCTCAACTCCCTCCCCTCTGACAGTTGTCAGTCTGTTATCCATGTGAATGAGTCTGTTTCCATTTTGTTCGTTTATTTTGTTCATTAGATTCCACATATAAGTGAAATCATATGGTACTTGTCTTTCTTTGACTGGCTCATTTCACTTAGCACAGGCTACTTCTGGAGAAAAGAAGAAATATGCTTCAGGAAGTATTGAGCAAAAGTAGAATAAACAAAAAAATAAACAATTTCTTTTAATAGAGCTGAGAGTGCTTATGCACACTACAGATGCTTGGCAAGTAAATAGCTGAATGGAGACAGAGGGGCCAGTGTAGATATTTTACTGATATCTGAAACTTAGCATGGTAAACACAAAACTTACTTTATCTCCCAAACTCATTCTTCCTAGTTTCCCCAACATGTTCAAGTAAGGCACTACCACCATTTTCAGGACCCAGGATTACAATTTTGACATTAGCATTGACTTTTCCAATTATTTTCCTTCAAGTTCTGCTGACTTTGTGTCCATTTCTGTATCTACCAATTAGTATAAGCCTTCCTGGCCTCATGAGTAGGCTCAGCTCCTTAGCCGGTCTCCATATCTCTACATGGTGCTCACAGCCTCCATGGCTATCTTTCTTGCTCTCTTGGTTATGTTGTTTCTCCATCTAAGAGATCACAGTTGCCTGCAGACCTCTCATCTCCCATTATTATCATCTCCAGTTTCTCCCTACTACCCAGCTCCAGCCCATCTGACCTTATCTCCTCTTGGACTTGTCTTGGTTTTCATTTCTAGACTTTGATTATGCCACTTTTTTTTTCTCTTCTTCTTTTCTGATTCAGGTGCCTCTTCAGCCTTTCTAAATTAATCCAAAGTCATTACTTCCTTCAAGAGCCAGCACAGAGTTCTAGCTCCTCCAATATGCCAGCACTGACATTAATTACCTCCTTGCTTTTCTATTGCTCTAGCAACTTGTATAATCTGTATAGTAATATTATTTGTACTTGCTTAAGAACTTTGTGGTTTTTAACAGTACCTTCCCAGGGTAAATTCCCTGAGGTTAAAGCTTGAATTTTCTTAGTGCAAATAAACTTAAATTCTTTTGATAGTTATGAGAACTGCTTAGGCACATGGCAGATACCTGATGAGCAAATAACTGAATGGACCCTATTTTTAATATGGAAGGGGAATGTTATCTTGTGCATATGAACCCATCCTTCTGAAAAGTACCTTTTCAAGCCAGGCAAAATGACAGTTCACTTGAATAATCTGTATGCTAATAGAAAAGACTTGCAATTTGTTTAGGTAGTTAGTTCCAGTACCTTTAATATGTATCTACTATTATACAAGCCTAGAGTGAATTTAGCTAACCACTTGCTGGCTGTGTAGCCTTAAGCAAGTGAGATACTCTCTCAGATCTTCAGTTCTACTCTCTGCAGAAGGAAGATGATTCCACTTACCTCATCCTTTGCTGTGAGGATGAAAGGGGATAATGTTTCCACAGTGGGGTACTTAAAAAAATAGTTACATCTTGTCCTTTAACCACAAATTATTAGGCATACGCAATTCAAAATAGAATAGACCTAATCTTAGCACAAAAAGGATGTCATATCTGGGAAATCTGTTGTCATAACAGTGAACCCTAGTTAGTAGTCTTAAAACAATAGTATTTAAACCACAGGGAACTTTCTCTGCTAAAGATGAATAAGACTTAGGTGATAAGCAAAGGGAAGGGGGTATAAGATAAGCAATTATAAAAGCAATAGTGTCCTTTATTAGATGAATAGAAAAGCCAGTAGCTAATTTAATTTTAGCTCCCTAAGAAGGTGGTAAGTTTAGCCTGCATAACAAAACATTTTCAGTTGAAGATAAACAACATGTATTCATTTCTCTTGCTTTATTTGTCTTCAGCAGGGGAAGCAATTATGTTTCACCATTAAGTTAACAAAATATTTATATTAAACCCTATTTGACTTATAGCTGATCTGAACAAGAAGCAAGGTTTGCCAGATGAATACTATCATTCTAGGGATAACATGATACCCAAAAAGTGAGATAATGTTTATTATTGAAAGTGAGCTAATGTCAATAACTAAGAATTTTATTTAAAAAAATTTTTCACATTCTTCTAAGTAGGATTACTTAATTTTAAATTGGGAATAAGTAAAAATATGTGTTTTTCATATTCTGATCCAGGAAAAATGTCATTTGCCTCACAACACTGATTAAAGAGTAGAAAACACAAAGCAGAGGTGCACACTCACCAGAAGTGAGGTAAGCACTGCCCTCTGTCCTCACCCCATCCATTCCTGGCAGTGGGAGAGGTCAGACGATATTTTCAATATTTTAGTAAACATTGGTTATACCCATGCAGTTAACTTATTAATCAGATATTATTTGGAAATATCAGATATGCTAATTAGAAAATGCAAAATCAAATTTCACACAATGCATTTTGAAACCACTTGAGCAAATACCACATCCTGGTAACACATACAGTTTATCTCAAGGGCATTTATATGAGTTATCAGTTATACTATAAATGAATATTAGCCTTTATAAAGTCTATAAAGGCCACCTGAGAACATAAGTCGCATGTACAATGAGGCAAAATGCTTTTGTAATGTTTAACTTTCTTTTTGGACTCGAGTTTTTCTCTGCCAGTTTTGGTTTCATCTGCATGTATGTAGAAATCCAGGCTTTCCAATTCCTTACACCCATTAATTTATTGAATGTGTTGGAAACATGTAGCTTACTTTGGTTTTTGTTTTAAAATGGTTCTTTTTTTGGCCTTACACAAATCATTACATTTTGGTCCCTATCTCAACTGGTAACTTATATGAACTTTTGAAAGGACTAGCAGCAATTTACAAGGACTCAAAGGTGAGCCATGCGCAGCGTTATTACCCTCTCCAGAGTGCAGCCCACATGCCCTGGCAGAAGTGGATCAAGTCCCCCTTGTGTCACAGAATCTCGCTGAACAGCACTTATCTCAAATTCCATCGCCTCTTACCGTGTACGTGATGGTTTCCTCGGTGTCCTGTGACTTGACCAGCGCCAGAGTCAGCATAGTCAGGAAAAGGGCTTTCAGCATCGTGAATCTCAAAGAAAACACAGGGCAAACCGATGCTCAGTGTCGGCTGAGGGGTAAATAACAAAACGTCAGCTGTGAAGTAACAAGCTGGGGAGGG